ATATATATATATATATATATATGCAATCCAGACTGAAAAAATCAATCTAATTTTATAGTTAACATATGACAGTCAAGAATTTTTTCTTAATCTTGTCATATATTGGACCAAAAAAAAAAAAATCCTGTCAAATATAAATTAAATTATTATATCTGTGGGCTGGGTTTGTTTGCACTTTGCAGTTTGCAGCCCATAAATATTCAAATAAGGACTTGGCCCAGTTTAGCCGCAACAGGGAAAGGAGGTGTTCCCAGGACGCTACTTACACACACAGAAAAAGGCAGGGCTTGGGTTTCTCAGCTGACTTTCGAGTTCTCCCTTTGTTCTTCAGCTTGAAGGAGCCTTCTCTACGGCTTTTCCTCGCAAAGCTTACTATTTCACTTCAGATTATTTGTGGGTAAGTGTTTGTTTTTCCTGTATTTCATCTCGCTTTTCCTCCTTTTTGATTTTTTACAATGGTTTTTTCGTCTGTATTCTGAGTTTATGGAGTTTATCCCATTCTCAGCTCCTGGTTTTGATTAATTTTAGATGTGTTGATGATACCTATCTTCCAATTTTGGTTATTTATGGTTTGTGGGTAAAGTTCTGAATGAACTTTGTTTCCTTAATTATTTTGCTTAGTCCCCATTAGTCCATACTGGGTTCTTCTGCTTTTCGAAAATTTTTTAGAGAATTGTGATGGTTTTGGGTTATAATGTGACAAGAAAAATTCAAGTTTAGATAGTTTGGATTCTGCGTTGTGATGATTTAAATTACCAGGTGGGTGGCATCAAGTGATGATGTTTTCACTTTTCATGATTCTTAATCAAGAAGCTTCGCAATATGTTAATGTAACTTATCAAGACTCTCTGTAGTTAATCTTTTCTCACAGGCTATTCTGCTTACTCTCCATATAATTTTTGGGTCTTGTCAGCTAATTCGTTTTATTCGGCCTACGTCAAGAAAATTGATATCTTGACCATGTTGATTACTGATCCAACAAAGAAGTTATCTTTTAATCGTTGCATCAGTGATGGAGATTTGGTTATTGTTTATGAGAGGCATGATATTATGAAGGCTGTTAAAGTGTGTGAGAATTCAGTGCTTCAGAACCGATTTGGTGTATTTAAACATTCAGATTGGATTGGAAAGCCCTTTGGCTCCAAGGTTTTCAGTGACAAGGGTGGGTTTGTTTACTTATTGGCTCCAACACCTGAGTTATGGACCCTGGTTCTAAGCCACAGGACTCAGATTCTCTATATTGCTGATATTAGCTTTGTGATCATGTACTTGGAAATAGTTCCTGGTTGTTTGGTTCTTGAGTCAGGGACTGGAAGTGGATCTCTAACAACCTCACTTGCCAGGGCTGTGGCTCCAACAGGACATGTCTATACTTTTGATTTCCACGAACAGAGGGCTGCTTCAGCTAGGTAAGAATTGAAGTTTCAAACTTGAGTGTTTTGCGATGTATTCATCATTCTGATTAAGTTTCAGTTACATTAAGTTGTGAAATAGAAGTCAATAATCATTATGGTTATCAGTCTTGTTTGATATCCGCTCTCTATTTTGGTTGATTATCAGTAGGCTTTTCTCATCTTAATTGGTGCTTCTTGTTCTTGGATTGCTATGTGAATCTTGAATACTTTGTAAAATTTGAAAAACAGAGAGCAACATTTGTAACACCATTTCTAATTTGAACCTGACAAAAAATTTCCATTCTGATACTAATGTGTTTTCCTTTCTCTCCACCCTATCTCCCTTCTGAACAGAGAGGATTTTGAGAGAACAGGAATAAGCAGCTTAGTCACTGTGGGAGTTAGAGATATACAGGGTGAGGGATTTCCTGATGATTTTGTTGGGATGGCTGATTCTGTATTTCTAGACTTACCTCAACCTTGGCTGGCCATTCCTTCAGCTGGCAGAATGTTAAAACAAGATGGGATTTTGTGTTCTTTCTCACCATGCATTGAACAAGTGCAACGCTCATGTGAGACCCTAAGATCGAACTTTACTGGTAATCTCTTGAGACTTAATTGGTTTATCTTCTCACATATTTGATATTTCTCCTTTTATTGATCGTTTCTCCTTTTTGTGGTCAGTGTGGCTTTACCTCATTTGTGTTTTTCTCTCAGATGTCTTAATATTAACTTTTATCCTCTGTCAAATCACTTATCCATGTGAAGCATTTGTTATCCAATTTGGTTAATATAATTCTTGTACTTGAATACAGATATAAGGACATTTGAGGTATTGCTCCGAACATATGAGGTTCGTGAATGGAAAACGGATTGCTCCAAGGTGGATGAAGGTGGTTCTGTTGGGTTTCCTCCATGCAAGAGGAGGCAACCTTCAAATGAACGGAGTGTGCAGGACAATCCAAGTTCTTTGCAAGTCATGGCTCGGCCATCTGCTGAGTCTAGAGGCCACACTGGGTATTTGACATTTGCAAGACTTAAGTGCCTCTCGTGAAGAATGGTCGCACGACCATCAAGTTCATACCTAAACACAGCTTTGTGTCCCTTAATTTGGTTCATTCCTCACTGACTGTTTCTTTATCCCCTATAGCGCATGTCTAGACAATGAGACTTTGTATCAGCACTTTGGAACGCACGATTATCTTCAATGATAAGGATTTTTCTATGAACTATCTTTTTACCGAGAGGTTCATATTTTGTTGCCACAACTTTGAGATTCAGTAAAATTAAGGATATGATTTTTCTAAAATCTTTTAATGGAGAGTGTGATCTTTTTTTCTTTTTTTCTTTTTTTTTTTAATTAATTAAGATTACTAAAAGTTTCAGATGGAGGATATGACTTTTGCAACTTTATTAATAAAATATTAATTGAATGTGCATGCTGATGTGACTAATGAATTCGGTTCAACCTTTGGTTTGTCTTTATTTTTTCTAAATGATTACAGTTATGTCAGCACGTCCATTTGTTAAATTTTTTGTTTGTAAAATTACAAATATATCATTAATTAGAAACTTTTTGAAAGATTATAACTTTAATTAGTTAGGAAAAAAAAGTCATACTCTCAATTAAAAAAATTTAAAAGTTGTATCTTTATTTTTATCAAATCTTCACAACTCTATGAATTTTAGTGCGTCTCATATAAATAAATAAATACATCTCACATGCAATTTTGTGTTTCAAACTAAAGTTTGGCCTTCTGGGAAATTTCTGTCTTCCTACCTTCGGCCCCATATGCTACTTTCCCCATGAAAGTTGAAGCCGTGCATGCATTCCAACTTTAGTTTCAGCAGATTCACGTTCAATTAATGCATAGCATCATTCATTTTAATCACCCAAGAGATCATACAAACATTGAAATGATTAATCTTGTTATATTGATTTAGAACTTTGGATTGGATCGTGCATTACATGGAATATCGATTATCTTATAAATACCTAAGTTTTCTTTTAATAACACAATAAAAAGTAGCAATGTTAATATCTCCACCATCCCTTCACCTTGATATATGGTGAATGCCATGATTTTTTTAAAAAAATTTATTTTATCTTAAGTTTTATAATAAAACTTAATATTTCCTATTTCACCCATATACATACAATTTTTGAATTCAAGATTATGATTTCTTAAGAAGATCAATATAGCGGATGCCATGATTTAAATCCCAAACAATAGATGAGAGTGCTAGAGTCATTGGGTCATTAATTAGCTAGGGAGTACTTATTTTTTGGGATTGAGAGAAGGACTCGGAATAGGGTTAATTATGTATTTTCAGTAAAAACGACTCGTCGTTTCATGCTCCCACTTGGGGTTTGTTCATGCAACGTTAAACCCAACTCTCTCTCTCTCCATTTTCTAACACTTCCCATTCCCAAAGGCAGAGTGTTGCGCTCGCTCTATCTCCTGCAACTCCGTTTCTGAAACACCCAATTAACAATATTAACCCTAGATTTGGTCCTGTATCTTTCCATTAAAGCCACTACCCACTAGAATCTAGAACCCAGTTCTCATGGGAAACCTTCCTATATATCTTTCTTCTTCTCCAAGCTTCAATTCATGTTGGATCTCTGCCACATTCCTTCCTTCAAACAGAAGATCTGCTGGTTTTCTGGTCAGGGCAGCATCAGTACCGGAAAATGTTGACGGGATTTCAAATTCTAGGGATTTGACCCAAAGCTTCCTGCTTGCCTCGGAATCATATGTTTGGACACTGGTATCTTCTGAACTGAACATCTATTTCCACATTTTCAGCAAGCAGGTTCATTTCATTGTCTTTCTCTTTGTCTTGCTCTGAATTTTATTTCTTTTATGTTGTCTGAGATTTCCAAAGGTTACGCTTTTCTGATTTTTTTTCCCCATCTACGTTTGATCATGTAACTAGATGTTAATTCATTCCCCATGCTTATGATGCTTGAAATTTAACTACTTCTGTATGAAATGAAAAAACCCTTTTTTTTTGCTTTCTGTTTCTCCTCTGTGGCTCACTTCCCCTAGAGTAATTAAAAATAAAAAGTCTGTTTGTTCTTAGTTCTCTCCATTATTTGGATTTTTAGGTTCTTGAGAAGGGTTTCCAGCAACAGTTAAAGCCTCCAAATTTGGGCGTGGGACTTTAATTAATTAGATTGTTGTCATAATGTGGGCATTTAACCTCTACAATCTACCAAAGCTCACTCTTTCACAGGTATTTGTTTTGTTGTTTGTGAATAATTTTCAAACACTCTTCAGATATGTTGTAATTTTCAGCTTGCAGCCATCATATAGGGCAACCTCTTGACCCACATCTGTCTGGACAAGGTTAATTTTTCATTCATTTACACATTCAGTGCAGTGGAGCTCATCTTCATTGTCTTGTTCTCTGTCCGGTTTCTAGGGGAGGTAAGAAATATTGTCCTTTTTATCTTCATTGCGGTTGAAAAAATATTGATTTTTTTTTTTTGTTATTGATTAGTTTGATCTAAGCAAGGCACTGTTATTTGCTTTTGTAGAGTTCATCACCTGTACTTTTTTTTCCCCTCTTTTTCTGAAAGGCAAACAAATTTTGTTACCATAAGGGGTATTCAAACCCTTACATCAATAAATCACATAGGCATTAGGCATACACTGGCAACACATATACGTATCAAACCACATGTACACATCACCTGTACTTGATATGTTATAGGTTGTAAAATAACTAATTTGCTGCCGCTTCTGTGATTAATTTAACATATATATGAAGCTTTACAGTAGGATAAATCATATATGTTATAGGGTAGAGTTTTAAGACCTTCGTTCATCTTTTGAATTCTTTGGAATTGAGTTTGGCCATTCTTTGCACACAGATATGCCAACTTCCGGGTTATTTCCTCGGTCCTTCCAATTGTAGGTAGAGTGGCATTGGCATATCATTCATTGAGAAGCTTCTTTTAATCGGTTTCTAGGAACCATTTTACATTATTCATGCTATGAAATCTTGGTAACACATATTTCTGCTTTATGGAGAATTCCTTTTAAGAACAAATATTCATCGTATCAATTCTCTATTTATGTACGGAAACATGATTGGTTTCTGCAGTGCCATGACTTCCAATTAATATGATGAACCAATCACGTGATGTACTGAGGAAAAGTTAATGATTAGGAAAGAGGTAACTAAGTACATGAACGCACTGATACAATTCTCTGTATATTTCAAATTGGTTAATGGGATTTCTATACCAGTGCCTTTAACTAACCCCTTTCATTCATGAACATGATATTAACTTTGGATATTTAGTTAGGAAAATGATTAGTACGTATTCGATTTAACACATTTTTTGACATTTGTTTTGATTGAACTATTAAAATATAATATAAGTATAGTCAATTCAACCAGTTTTTGATTTCTGTATGTATAATTACGTTTTTAAATTTATCTACTTTTAATTTTATACTAGAAAATAGTGTTTTTTTTAGTGTATTGGTATAGTTTATTGAACTGAAGCATGTATCAATCAAGCTTCAATTAGTTTCATCAACCTCTTTGTTTGTAATAAGTATTATTTTCTTCCTCCATCCTTCTATGGTTCCAACATTAATGTTTTTGCTGCGAGCAGGCTTGACTTTTGTGACTCCAAATACTTAAAAGTTTCCTAATCATTTCGTGACAATATCGTGCATGATTGCTGTTTTCTTTTTCTCTTAGTAATAATATCCCAGGCAAGCCACCGCTTGAATATTAGAGAGCATTTTATGAAAATGTCTCTTCTGGCTGGAATCAGCTTCCGTGGTTCTCAGCAAGTGAGGAGGTTGTATATGTTTTCTATGAGCTTTCATAGTCTTCTGGTTTTCCCAATCCATCTTAGACATTCACCATTTGCTGTTTTTGAAGTGGTGCAGGAACTGCAGTAACTCTTGCTGGAGTCGTCTTGCATTCAGAAGCGAAGAAGGATGATCCAAAGACTAGCTGCGTGATTTTGTAATTGATCAAAACGAAAATGACTGTATGTTGATCTAATTAATCATCCTAAAGAAATTCAGATTTTAGTCACACAGTTTCATATATATTTTGCTTCTTGTTTAGTTAAATTCAAAGGCATTTCGGCTTCAAATTAAAACCTGTATCTCATAAGTAAATCAAAGGATGAAAATGTCGGATTTAAACTGTCAAAAATGAAGTACTATATGTGGTTTATACATGCTGACCCATTTGTGTTGTGAGACGGTATGTATTGCAGACGTACACATGACATAATTATTGCATCAACTTCATTAATAATTTCCATGATAGTTCCCAAGTTAAACGAGAAAAAAAAAAGGTACTTTCAAAGGTTTGTTAAAAAATGCTTTAATTTGCAATTTTTTTCCCCTTAACATTTGGGAATTAGAATATATAAGGGCAGTTAAAGGAAATGACTTTTTTTTTTCTTCCTTTTTAATTGGGCAACCAAGGGAAATGAATCTTTGTACATTCCAAGTCCAAATAATGATATGGTGAGGATGATAAATGAAAAAAAAAAGGTGATAATTTGGTGTCCTCATATATATATTATTATGAGTCAGATTTAGTTAGGTGTTTGATCCAAATTTTAATTTGTAAAATCCTAAAGAAGACAAGATTCAATATTACATAAGAATCTACATAATTTAATCATCATAAATTTAGCCAAAAGAAAGTACATAATACGTAAGACTACTTGCAGTTTTGAAATTTAATTAATTTTAATCTGCAACATATTGAAAAAATTATTAAAACCAAGCCAATACAATGAAGATAGTCTCATCCCCCCCCCCCCCCAAACAAGTTTGCAGTTATCTAGATCTGCCCGGTCGATTCGTACGTAATACATATTATTTTATCATTGTATGTTAATTAATTATTATTTTTTTGAATGGGAATTAGGGTTTTAGGGAAGCAATGAACAGGTGCCACGAGAATTGGAAAGAAACAAATGGTACTACACAGATTGTATACTAGTAAGGCTGATCAGAATAAATTACATTAATTATTGGTAAGTTAGTGGATTAATATATATATAATATGATGGTTATTGGGTGGTCCATATATGATCCATTGCATGTTAAACATAATCCAAATGTGTTTGCTTTGTCAATAAGACTGTCAGCTTGTTGTTTTTAACGATAACACAATGGTATGTATTCATATTTATGTCACCCTCTCCACACCACTAAGGTTTTTTTTTTTTTTAGGGGGGCACGGCCGTCCTCTGCACTAGGTTTAGATCCAGAGAAATAGCGGAAAATGGGAGGAAAGTAAGAGAAAAGAGTTTTAAAACCCTAGATGGTCGGGGAGGCCAGGAAAAGAGAATATATTGTATTTTGGTCAGCCGTCCGCTTTTGGTTTTTCCCCTCCAAAGTGAACATTCTTTTTTCTTTTTGTTGTTTTTAGTTTTGATATGTGAAGGAAATAACGGCAGCATTATTTATTAATATTATTGATAGAGTATGTGTACCGGAAATAATCAAGACGATATTTAGTCTAGAGGTGCTAAATTCAAAAACCGTTGATCTGTTCATCTCTTTGTTCTTGCAAGGTAGCAATTAGAATAAGGAGAAAGTAAATAGATTATTATTAGTTTATAATTGGTGTAATTATACTATTCTAGATATATAATATAATATACAATGTCTCGAGATTCTGAATTCAAACATCATTCTTTTCATTTAATTCTAACTCTTAGGAAGAAAATAAGGATAATGAAAGAGTTTGAAAGATTCTATAAATTCAAAGATCAATCTCTTCTTTCTTACAAGTTAATTATGATGTCATTTTTTTAATCAACAAAAGAAATGTATATTGTATGTATTAATTAATTACCTGCAAAATTGAGCACCAAAGGTACTCGAGGTAAAGTAAAGGAAAAGAAAGAGTCTGAAAATCAAAATTCATTGACTCAACTTTTCTTTCTAATAAATTAAAAAAAAAGTAAGGGATAAGAAAGAGTCTAGATATTCTGAATTCAAAGGTTCTTATCTTTCTTTCTATAAATTAAGAAAAAAGTAAACAATAAAAAAAGAGTCTAGCTATGTGACAAAAAAAAAGAGTTTAAATATCTTGAATTCATAAATCATCCTTCTCATTTGTGCAAATTAGGAAATAAGGAAAAAAGCAAGGAAAAGGAATTAAAGAGACAGATTTATAAATTTTTATTCTCACCTTATAAGTGCTTTACAATTCAGTAATATAAAGTTATAATTTTTTCTTTCCCTTTCACTTCTTAGCTAATACAAAGTAAAATAATAATTCTTTTCCTTCTTCCTTAAATGTTCCCTTTCAACATCAAAACAATTTATCTTTTTTTGATACAAACATCAAAAGAAATTTTAAGTGTGAATATACGCTTAATTTGATCTAAGACGTGCTAATTAAATTTAAAAGAAAAAAAAAGGATAAAAAATTACATACTAATTAAGATTGTTACCAATCAAAATTTCCAAGAAATATGATGAAATACACCTGCTCGATCATCATATATATATACCTTCATTATTATTATTTCCTTAATGCAAATCAACTACAACATTAATGAATCGAATTCTCTAGTTACTAAAGTGATAATATATGATATATCGAAAAGGGTTATCATATATGTATCTTTGGGATTAATTGTTTTGGAATTCATTGTATTAAGTAATAATCTAAGAAAATCGTGATCAAGAATTTCTACACTAGAAGCGAGTTAATTTGTTATAGGCTAATTAAGCATCAATAAACAGTTGAATGTAATTAAAGGAAACTGAAATACTAAAATCCCAAAAAAATTAGAACAAACTATATAGAGAAAGAGAGGCAATTCATATCTAGGGTTTTTTTTTCTTTAATTAAAGGAAACCCCAAAACTAAAAATTAACCAGATCAAACAATTACAAAAGTGATGAAATTATTAATCCATACAGAAAGGGTTTTAGGGTTATTCCCTAATTCTCATGATCAAAAACAGAGATTAATTATTTTGATTGAAGTACTTCAATCAAACTAGCTAGTTTGACGGATAAACTTATTTCAACATCTAATTAATTGTACCACTCATAATCAGAAAAGCTAATTGAAGTAGAAGGCAAACATGTTGTTCCCTTTTCTCTCTTCTGCACAACTTCAACCTCAAAATCACTTCGATGATCTGCAGCTGCCCTCTGAAACTCAATAGTATAGCGTGAGAAAGGGAGAGAAGCACCAAAAACTCTGATCCCATCAATCTCCTTGTACAAAGTTACCTTGTCATGAACCCTAAGCCCTTTAGCTTTGGCAAAGCTGAGCCAACCTTTGCGGAGGACAGCCTTTGGGTGAGGTCCTTTCTTCCTGATGGAGCATCTAAATGGCCACTTAACTCCATCTTCGTCCTCAACCACGAGCTCTATGGCATGACCTTTCCCAAAAGACGGTAAGGACTCGAGCGTGCTCTTCTTGGAGATACTCAGGCACTTGGAAATGCAAGTGGGGGACAAAGATTTGGAGAAGATTATGCTCCTTTTCTTCATCTCTTCTTGGGATTTTGGAGCCATGATGTGGAATTCCGTCTTTTTCCTCTTGTTTTTCAGCTTCCTTGGTGGTAAATTCTTTTTCTTTGAACAAAATTAAGATATTTATAGAGATATGATCAAATTAAGGGGGTAGGTCTGGTTGGATGGATTTTCTAGTACAAGAAGAGAGGAAAAATTATATTAATTAGGGCAGTAAGTACGTGACATGTCGACATGCCTGTCCTAAAACTTGAGTCTTTCGACATCAGCCCTCAAGTTAAGGGCTGATACGAGGGAGCATGGCCGAATATGCTTGTGCCTTTTCTAGAAATTAGGTTGACTTTTGGATTATTCATTCACTTTGATTTATTAATTCTATACTCCTTTTTTTTTTTTTTTATTTATATAGCCACACAGATAATGATCTCAAACTTAATTGATATAACATTAATATAAAGAGTTATGATAAATTTATATCGGTATAAGTGTTACACTAATTTTTAGTCATTTATTTTAAAATTTAAGCAATTAATGCAACACTTAAATTTTCAAAACAACCATTTAAAATTTAAAATATGCTACTGAAAATTAGTGTAAAAGTTTCTTAAACTTACACTTGTAATTAAGTTGATCCTACTCTAATATAAATGCATTAGGTCACATGTAATTAAGTTGATCCTACTCTAATACAAATGCATTAGGTCCACTACTCCGCATTGGATTTGGGGGGTTAGGGACAGGTGGGGATGGAGACCTGAAGTGAAAAATCTTCCGATACTTTTAGAGTATTTCCTTATTTGCAAGTAAATTATTTAAACGAATGTGTTTAAGAACACAGACTTTCATAGAATTATATGGGTAACTTGTATTGATGAAATCTTGACATATAGTGAAAAGGTGTTAACATTTCAGTTTTGGAGACTTTTGAAGATGAATGATGTATGCATTAGGGGATAGAATTTCTACATTAATCTCTTTATCTATCTCAAGATTTAAATTACTCCTAATTTGAGACTTTTTAAAATAATTTTTTTGGCAAATCTCTTGGGCAGTTTTGGATAATAGATGTTAGATTTTTATAGGTTTGTAGGAAATCTTAATAAAAGTTAGAATTTTATTTATATTTGGCAAATTCATAGAAAATATACTCTATTTATTTCAAAATAACTGTCATTTATTGACTTTTTTTTCAAATTAAAGATTTGGAGGCAATTGATGTATTTACTTATATATTACCCTTTGCAAAAAAAAACTAAGAGAGACTTTTTTATGATAGTATAATTAATTAAATTAAATGAATGATGAAAGGGTTAAAGTAGGATAAAATATTTATCTACCTTAAAAAATAAAAAAATGACAATTAATTTAGAGCAAACTCAAAATTAAAAAAAAAAAAACAATTATTTTAAAATGGAGGGAGTAATACTCTATCCAGGTCTCTCTTTTATTTTACTACTCCATTATTCCAAAAAAATTGTTCATTTGTTGAGTTTTTCTTCAAATTAAGGATTTAGAAATAATTTACATGTTCACTTATATTACCTTTTAACAAACAAAGATATATAAAAGATAAAGTGAAATTTTTGTGATATGATTAATAATTGAAATAAAGGATAACAATATGGTTAAAGTAGAAACAAAAAGTATTTGTTTAGGATAATGATTGGTACATCCTCTGGTTCAACACATTTGTCAACATTCACCAATTCAACTATTAAATTTTGTAAATAAAAATTTTCCCACCTTAAATTCAAATTTAAAATAATAATTTTTTAATAAATGTGTTATGAAGTGTATTGAATCAAAGGTTATATCAATTATTATCCATTTATTTAGGTTAATATATGAGAAAATAACAATTAATTTAAAGTAAAAAGAAAAAGACAATTATTTTGAGATAAAGGTATTAGTATTTTTATCGAAAATGATATAATTACAATATATACCATATGAGATATTGTAAGTTTACAATATAATCTGTTGTTACATAATTGAATATTTTCATTTAAAATTTTATTTGTGACATTATATGTATTCATTTATTTAATAACATATCATACTTATTTAATAATATATAGGCAACGAGTTAAGTAACTCAATAGTCATCTCCTTCCACTAGAAGTAAGAGATCTTGAATTCGAGTCACATGGCATGTGGGTGGGGTGGAATAAGGGATAAGAGATGGTTGCCTCCAATTGTGCAACAAAGATAAAAAAAAAATATATATATATATATATATAATAATGGTAAATTTACAATTCTATATATCTTTGTAGCTATAACATTTCTTCATTTTCAATGGTATGGTCAATATAAAATGCCATGCTTTAGCGCAACCGATGCCTACTTATTATAAATGATATCGTGTATGTATAGACTTAAAATTTGACATTCTACTCAAATTTTGTTTATAAAAACATTACATTTTCGTGGAATACACCCAAAAAAAGAAAAAATAATAAAAAAGAAGGAATGATTTATAAACAAGCAATAAAAAATTTTTTTTGATCAAATTGATATTTACTAACTTAAAATTTTTAATTTAAAATGGGTCAAATATTTAAACATCTATGTTATTAAATAATTAACTTTTTGATATAAAAAAAATAAAAAAAAGTACAATAACACAAAAAATAAAATAAAATAAAATAAAATAAAAAACAATCACACACACGATTCACGTAATACTAGAATCCACTTGAAAAGTTGAATATTGACCCTGGAAGAGGTCTATGTTGAATTCTAAATCCCAAAGTTGAGAATTGACGATAGGGTTGTTTAATAAAAGTTCCTGTGTGGCATGAAACGAGCCTTAGCCCGTTTTTTAATTGTTATCATGTCCGTCTGGATTCAGTTGTGCCTTATCTGTCTTAATCATTTTTTTTTAATATTTTTTATATATTTTTGTGTGGCAAGACTTTTGTCTTCAGCTTGTGTGTGCTCATTATTATTGTTCACATCAACTGATCATGAAGCTATAGCTAATTACCTGGTACATAGTTTAGGTAGCTCTCTCAAAATCAGGTGGCTCTACATAATATATGTGTGTGTATAGCCATTTTCCATTTATATAACTCTATCATTTTAAAGAATACACCAATAATTGATTGACAATATTTGTAGACCATATGTGGTTGATTAATCAACTTCATAACAATAAATATTATGATTAATGAGATCTTGATTCACTAATCAAAGGATAAAGTCAAGTACATGGTTCAAATTTTTGGGGTTAATACTTCAAAAATTATTATTTTTTTTAAATGTCCTAGATTCATATAAGGATATACTTTTAAAATTACTTAACAAAAATTTAATTTTAAGATATGTAAAAACTAGTAATGGAGGATACTTGACCATCTAATAAAAAAAAATTCAAATGATAAGATTAAATAGTATCGCCACAGCAATTATATATATCTCAAAAATTAATTTTTTATAATAAATTATGATTAATTTAATAATAACAAATATTCAAATACTCATAAGATATAATAGTTTGTCTAGTTTGAAGAGAAGAAAAAAATAAAATAATTTTTTAATCAAATAATAACATTTTTAAATATCATAAATATAATTAGTCGCAAACTCCATCCATTCCCTCTACTCAAACCAAACATAACCTAACAATTTAGTAATTAAAATGATAGAGTTATACTAAAGGTGGACTTTGAGAAAGCATACAACAAAATGTGTTGGAGTTTGTTTAGATTATATGATGAAGAGGATGGGATTTGGTGACACATGATGAGGGTGGATCCAAGAATGTCTACAAACAAGCTTAATGTTAGTCCTAGTTAATGGAAGCCGTACAAGACAGTTTGAGGTTTCTAGAGGGTTAAAGCAAGGTGACTCACTCTCTCCATTTTTGTTCCTTGTGGTAGCAGAAGGTCTTAATGGGATTATGTTATTAGCAATTGAAAAAGGCATGTTTGAGGGAATTGAAGTGGGGCAAAACGGTGTGAGCTTCTCTCATATTCAGGTTGCCAATGACACCATTTTGTTTGGGAAAGCTACAGAGAAAAATGTATGGGCAGCCAAGTGCATTATGAGGATAGTTGAACTGATGTCAAGCCTTAAAATCAATATTATGAAAAGCCAGCTAATTGGTGTACATTTGAATGATGATTGGTTTCAAAAAATGGCCTGCTTGTTGCATTGCAAGGTTGGTGATTTATCATTTAAATACCTTGGGGTGATAATTGGGGGAAATCAGAGAGAAAATTGGCTATGTGGCAACCACTGTGACCTATTCAGGAAAAACTTGCAAGTTGGAAGGGAGGTTAGCTGTCATTTGGTGGAAGGCTCACGTTGCTCAATTTTGTGCTCTCGTCTCTCCCAGTGTTCCTCATGTCCATCTACCTCGTTCCAAAAGGTATAGTAAAGGTAATAGATAAAGTTAGAAGGGATTTCTTATGGGGGGTGGATGTGAGGAGAAGAAAAAAGTTCATTGGGTAAGTTGGAAGGAGGTATGTCATGGTAGAAGAGATGGAGGACTAGGGATCAAAGACCTTGGATTGCTTAATTTATCGTTATTGGGCAAATGGTGGGGAAGATTAGCAGAGGGCAGGGAGGGATTGTGGTTCAAAATCATTAGAGAAAAACATGGAGGTGGGAGTGAAAATTGGACCAACTGGGTTAGAGAATGTAGGGAGAAAGGTTCGTGTTGGTGGCAAGACTTCTGCAGAATAGATGTGTTAGAATTGGGAAATTGTGGTTGGGTTTTAGAAGGTTTTGAAATGTCATTAGGTGAGGGTAGTAGCGTAAACTTTTAAAGGGATAATTGGATGGAGTCAGGAGAGTTAGCTAACAAATTTCCAAGGTTATATTTAAACTCTACAGGTAAAGACAATAGGGTGAACCAAATAGGAGTTTGGGACAATGGGGCATGGAAGTGGAATTTACAGTGAAGACGTGAGCTATATTCATGGGAACAAGATTCACTGTAGACACTTGAACACATATTAGAACAAATGACACTGAAGCAAGGAGAGAGGGATACTTGGTTGTGGAAGTCCAGTACCAACGATAAGTATTCGCCGTGCTCCGGTTACTGCAAACTCGCCTCACAGCAAGCTGTTTGAAAGAGTATGGAATCAAACCATCCCTCATAAAGTCTGTGCATTGTTTGGCAATTAATTTTGGACCGGTTGCCAAGTAAGTCCAATTTACTTAAAAGAGGGATAATTAAGGACTCATTTGAGTCGATGTGCAGTCTGTGTGAGGAAAATGTTGAGGATAGCAACAATCTGTTTTTGCACTGTAAAATAGCTTCCTAGGTTTGGTCAAACTACTATAAATGGTGGGACGTGTACACTGCTGTAGCAAGCAATGTGCGGGAAGCTTTTGAGCAGGACGAGCGACTCATGCTTGATGGGAAAATACAGATAGGCTGGGAACCTGTATGGTTTGCAGTTGCATGGACTATTTGGAATGCTAGAAATGAAAAGGAATTTAATATGGTGGCACAGTATATGTTGGCAAAACTGTTGACTTTGTACGAGGAAAGACATATCAGTTGGTAAAAAATAGGGAAAGGAAAGGTCTTTTTTATGTCAGACTGGATCATTTACTCCAAGGGCATGTGTGAGCAAATGAACTACTTTACAATGGGTCGTTAGAACTTGGTTAAAACCGGTAAATTAAATCGGGTAATAGATAATTTTTTAATTTTATATATGAGTTTGAGTACTTTGTATTTATTTAATAAAGTTTTGCCATTAAAAAAAGATATTTACAGCACTTTTTTTGGATAAAATATATAATTAAATACATACAATTTCTAAAAGTAATTAATAGACCCCTTTTCCATTCCCTTTGTTCAATTTCCAGTACAAATACATTCCGATAGGTCGAATTTTTTGAAGGATGTAAAATGCTCCAACAATTACTCCACTTTCCCCTTTGAATCCCTTTTCTTTCCTTCGGATCTTATCAATATAAAATAAAAGTGATTTGTTAGACAATACTCCATATAGTCTGATTTAGTTGTCCTAATTTAATTTTTGTATAAAATTTGATAAGATAATTTTATATAGGAAATAAATAAGTATTAAAATTTTTTTTCTTTTTATAATGATTTTTATTGAGTATTTTTACTTAGATTTTTTTTTTTTTACTTATCATGATTATATAAAATTATCAAGTTAATTTATATAAAATTGAGGAAATAAGAAAACTAAAAAAGATTAAGAGGAACTATTTTTTTTTTTTTTTGGTATTTGTTGAGAATGTTTCTAATTGTTATACCATGTAACATAATTTTTATTGATTTTTTAAATTAAAAGATCCGTGAATCAATATATATTTACTCATTTATTATGGAAAAACTGTGATAATTTATTATTAAGAAAATGTTCTTAATGGATCATTCAAAAAAAAAAAAAACTAATTACCCAAATTACTTCATCTAGCTAACTAGGGAGTGATAATTTGCTAATGTCTGTGATGCATATAATTTTATAATTAAATTCAAGAACGAAAAAAGATATGCACGTTGCAAATTGACTAGCCATTTGGACTTGGCCGCATGCCCAAATTTTCTTTCCCATTTTGGCATTTTCCTTTTCCTTTTCGCATTTTCTTAATGCACAATTTCTTGATATAACAGCGTGCATTCACAAGCAAAAACTAATAAGGATGGAGCCAAATTCAGAGAGGGCATGATTTTTTTTTACTTCTTTTTGACTGCCAAGGTGTTCTCGGACAAATTTTTAGCTTACTCAAGATTAATCCCTTCTTAGATAATCTTAATAATGGATCTTATATGGACTTAATATATTTTTAAAAATTAATTTTTTTAGTTGTTATCCTAAAACTTAAATATTAAATTTAAATTATAAAACAACACTTAGTAATTTAGCAATGAAACAAACCTTTAGCTTGGCATGCTTTTATACTTTTGCTAAAGTTTAAATGACCCTAATTAATCATCATAAATTAATTTCTTTCTTTTTTTTTTTTTTTGTGAAGTTTCTCTTCTATTTATCCGAGGCCCATATATAAAACCTAATCAGTCACATTTAAGCCTTTATGTCCTCTCTCCCCCCAAAGATCTCACTATAACCCGAAAAGCAGCACATTCCCATACAGCCCATTCACTACCTGGGCCTGGCCCTGGTTTTTGTTTAATAGACCTTGGCCCTTTTCACCACGAAAATAAATAAATAAAATAGTTAATGCTACCCTTGCATGATCCCAACACCTCACCCATTCCTGCCATCTGTAGAAGAATCCAAAGGGTAATAATCTCAAAACCTTGAAATAATCATAAAATCAAACTAATTCATGAAAACTTACTACTGATACCACATAGGCCTAAACAGTTCCCAACCTTGGGCCTAAAAAGTAGGAATTGGGGAATTAGAAAAAGCCCAAAGATTTTGGTGGGTACTAGGCACAACTTTAAGGCCGCATGAAAAATGAAAATATGGAATTAGATGCGCAGGGTTGAGTGTTGACCCTACCCACCTATATACCTTGGTTCCTCCCCTGCTCCAAAGTAAGTCTAAATTTTCTATATTAGAACCAAAGTTGAGAGAATCCATTCTAAACATTACAAACCACAAAACAAAAGCACAAAAAGCATAACATGAAAGCAAATTAACCCTAACTCTCATTTTTCATAAAATATCATCTGTAACCCTCTTTACACCACCACCCTATTTTCCCACATGAAACTATACCTTAAAGCTCTTTTGATTGCATAAAGAGAATGCTCAGAGTCTTCCATGGGAAAGCATCTCCATCAAATCCATCTCCTTCTTATCTCCTTCCATCAAGCTCTCCATCTCCATCAAGCCGTTGCTACTCACCTCATCAAGCATGGATCCAAAGCCCGAGTAACTTTCTCCAAACACATTTGTTTCAAAAGAGAAATCCATGGCCTCATATTCATGAGCTCTCCCTTTTGTTGTTGGGAAATCAATGTTGGGCATCGAGTTCATTACCTTCTGTACATCACCATTTCGAGTTGAAGTTGAAGCTGATGCAGAGGTGGAGGTGGAAGAGACGCTCTTGATGTAGTTATGCAAGAGGGAGTCTTTGGTGTTGGAGTTCCTGCCCTTTCTCCGAGAGTGTTGCCTTCTCTTGGTAGCATTCCAGTGGTTCTTTATGGTATTCTCAGTACGCCCCGGCAGCCTCCTAGCAATCTCCGCCCACCTATTTCCTATTTCTTTATGTGCTTGAATCAGTATTCTATCTTCTTCTTCGCTCCATGAATCCTTCTGCAAATCTCACAATAATATTACTGAGGCATTTGCATGTGTACGTACAAACAACATATACATAAAAATAAACAAATATGAAATTAAAAAAAATTAAACTTATGTGCAACTATGTACATCATTTTCCTCCGATGCATCTTAGTTATTAAGGGTATTTTGTTACTTTTATAACTCAAATTACATAGTAGTCCAACTTTAACAAAAAAAAAAAAAAAACATTCTCTTAAGGTTGTCAATAATTTTACAAACAAATATGGTACATTGTAATCAAGCTTGAATTGTAATTTCTTAAGATCATTTGCCTATAAAAACCATTTTATAGTTCAATTCCATAATGTGTGTGGATATATGTACATTTTTTTTATATACATTATGTGATACAAAAATAAAATTGATAGGTGTGCAATTATTTTACAGAAAGCATCAAACAAAAGTAGAAATAATCACTAATAACCTTTTTTTAATACATAGAAGATGTGTCAGATTACTTATAAAGAAAAATGCCATTAGCTTCCCAAAAAAACCACAAAAGTAATAATGACAAAAAAAAAGAGGGGGAGGGGGGGGGGGTGGATTGTCTATAAACACATAATTTTTCTGATGAAAATAATAAAAAAGAGGGAAAAAAATTAACCTTGATATCGGGCTTCAAATGATTGTGCCATCTCTCTCGGCACTGCTTCCCCACTCTTCCATTCAACACCTTTGCAATTTGAGACCATTTTTTTGTTCCATACCTTGCTACCAATTGCACCAATAGTCTAGAAACACATAATTTTACACAATCAATTCCATTATTTATCTCAAGAAAATTGATGGTAAAAAAAAAATAAACTTACGAAAACTATGCCAAACAGGAAAACCCTAAGGGAAAAAAATTAAAATCATGAACATTTCAAAATTTTACTTTAAAAAGAAAAACAAAAAAAAATAAAATTGTCCGTGTTGATTAGTTGTTTACCTATCCTCATGAGCACTCCATTGTCCTTTGATTATGTTCTTCGGAGCTGTGGTGGCCTTTTTCATCTGCATCATCTTCTTGTTCTTCTTCCGATTGACTTTATGGTCATTTTCTTCGATCTCATCAGACAATTTTGTATTAATTGATCCATAATAACCTTGAGAATTCATTGGTAATTGATGACTAGGAAGAGTTTCCGATATAAGTTGGATTGGGATTTTTTGAGGAAAATCTTCATATCCTCCTCTATGTAAGCCATGCAAGAGGGCATTCACACTAGGATTGATCGAAAAGGACAAATCATTAACACTAGAATTAAGAAATTTGGGAGGAATTACTTCCTTGTTACCTCCGCCAATGGTTGAATCTTGACTAACAAGATTTGAAGAGAACCCCTGTGGGAAACAGGTCAATCCGTTAAAATTTTGTGTCGAAGAAGCATTATTGAGATTATCACTTGAAAAATGATTGGTATAGCCCTCAAAAGTGTCAGTGCATGTCCCCGATAAGATGTTATCAAAGGACCCTTGGACAGGAAATTGGTTGAAATTGGAAGAATTCAAGAAAGAGCCAAGGTTAGGATCAATCAAGTTGTGAATCAAACCCCTAGGGGAAGAACCCTTAGGGGGAATTGATAATCCATAGTCAGATTCATGTTTTCCTATAAAATTTTCTGGGAAAATACTAGAAAGGAAAAGAAAATCATCTCTGAAGTTGGTATCAAGCTCCATGCAGTAGAGAGAAAAGGTGCTCAAGAAAGGAAGGATGGTTTAATGTGAAGAGTAAAATGGGCTTTTAATTAGTGCAATAAGAATTGAGCCAAGGCAATTATCACGTGGCAAAACATCAGCCCTACGATGAGATTCCAAGTCAAGGGTGGATTTTGCAAGTTGATTGTGACTGTTAAGCTCCTCAACCTTTTGCCATTGCGAAGGGCAAAAGGGACCCAGCAATGATTAGGTCGTTATAAACTTTTGTATTTTAGGAAAAACTTCGGACACCTTAAGGACAAGTGGAAGTCATGAGGGGATCCTTCCAATCCTTTCAGGTCCCACAGTTTCAGCCGCAGTGTTGCGCTTTTTGATGCTAGCCAAATCTTGGCCGTTGGATGGAACCATCAAAGGTTTGTCCAGATAATCAATGGCAGTGGATGTGCTGTGAGTGGGGACCGCTTTGGTTTATTTGTGGGCCTGAAATTCAATGGGTTGGCTATATCAAAGGTGCCTTTAAAATTCTCTATGGGCAAATACAATTGCTTAACTAAATTTGTGTGAGGGAAGAAATTTAGGGTCATATTTATGAATATTTATGAATTTCATAGATTTAAATGCTATTTTTTAAAAGCTATAAATGAGATTTTAAAGTTATTTGTCAAAGTTAGTCAATCTCAGTATTCTTATTCTCACCCAATCCATTATATGTAACATCTAGAAATTTCTTGATATCATCAAAATTTTGCTATATTTTTATTTTTATTTTTGCCTTACAATTCAGAATACGAAACATGAGTCATTGGATTAATAAAAATTTTGAAAATTTCCTATTTATATATTGTTCTACACAGGGGCATGGCCCTTTAAGATTTTTTTTTTCTTGGTTTCATCTCAGCTTAATATATTGATATTTATTTGGCCATCAACATATATAGAGTATTTCTTTTTTTAGAGTATAGGTTTTTCTAACATATGCCTTAAAATATAATAAATATATATTTTTATTATAAATTTATATTAAAAATAAAAATTAATATTTAATTTATTAATTATTTAATTAAAATATTGATATTTATTTTACTAATGTGTGTATATATATATATATTTAAATGGTCCGAATGTTCCCTAACCGGTTTTCATACAGTTTAAGACTAAAAGGAATTTTGATACAGCTTAAAAGGCATTTACTATAAAGTAAATTCTTTTTTCATAAATTTAAATTTTTGTTAGAGGGAAATTTAAAATTTGCTTAAAAGTCACTTTAAACCATACCAAAAAATAGTTACTTTAAATTAAATCCAATTTTTTAAATCTCCTCCAACAAATTTTAAATTTGTGAAGGAAGAATTTACTTATTAAGTTTTATCAAACACTTTTTAATTGTTCTTGAACTAAACTATATATACAGGATTAGTACTTATCCATATTATTTTTTAAAAATTAAAAGAAAAATTGTTTTAAAACTATATCATTTCAATAAATCACTAAGACAAAAGATTAGAAAAATAAATTTACTTTCTCCAATCTAATTTAATTGTTTCACTTTATCTATTCACAATTATCAAGAAATTTATTATTACAATAATTAAAATTTATCTTTCTATTTTAGCTCTTAATTAAAATTAAACAAAAAAAAAAAATCTAAACACATTTTTATTTCTTCTGAGACATAGGTAAAATTAAAATATTAACATTACATTTCTTATTAAAATGCAACTAAATTAAACTATCTCTATTTAGAAAGTGTGACAACCAAATCAAATTAGAGGAAGTATAAACAAAGAAGAAAGGAATTTGGGTTTAGATAGGGCTTAAGGGAAATTAGGTAAGGTGAAAATTCACGTTTGAAAACCAATTCTTTTGTACAATTGAGAAAATGGTGTTGAAACCTGGAAGGATATATGTCTGATAGTCAAGACTATTTTATCTTTGTGACTAAGACCAATGAGTTACTCCATGCTTTTGTAACTGAAATATTGAATGGCTTTCCATTTTTGTTGCAATTAATTATTATCCATTAATTGTAATTAATAAGTGCCCAAATTTTGTTTGAATAGAGAGTATTTTTACCATTTTTATTGACCACTGACCAGGGGTTTGACTATGACTACCATAAACAGAAAAGTCTATAACCACTCCAATTTTGCTTCTTCAACTCCAAGGGGTTGTTTGGTTGGGGAGCAACTTTCTCCCCAAAACTTCTTTACAAGATTATTGACACTTTTTTACACATTAATATTATAACAAAGTGAGGGTAAAAGTGACATTTTAAACATTTGCTTTTCCTTATACAATTCAAATCCATGAAGTTTTTTTTTTTTTTTTGCCTATTTTGAAAAAAAAAAATTATGTAACTTACTGAGTTCACTTAATAACTTTTCTTATTAATTTCTCTTATATTAATTTCTAATAAAAAATAACAAAGTTAATAACTTAATAAAATTTTAACAAAATTTCGTTATAAAATTTAATAATTTTTTATATAGTATCTTTCTTATCACTCTTTCAATAAAAACTTTTCTAATAAAGTGACTCTTTAACCAACTAGCCCTAAATGTGTAAAAGTTGGTTGGTTGGGAGTGTGAGAAGCAAAAACAGCAAACAGCAAAGAGTGGAGTGTGATGAAGTTTTCGGAGTTCTAAAGAAAAATAAAGAAATAATAACCTCTAATTTAGAAAGTTAATGTATAAAATTTATCCTTTAATTATGTCTTTACCTGCTGCATTCAGCTCAGCATCAAGGATGTGATGTGTTAACTTATTTATTTATTTATTTTTATTATCATTTGCACATGGAAAATTTGTTATTAATGTTGTAAATTTGAAACTCCCCATAAAATACTAACTCGGTCGATTAAACTTGTGTTGGTATATGAGCTTGAACTAAGACTTAAAAGTCATGAATCTTAGATTTAAGACCTGCGTTATTAGAAGACAGGATGATTCATTGTCCTATTTGTTTGTCTTGAAACATGAGGATTCTCTTCAGTACTTACAGTTCAGGCGCAGCTGTTTAGTTTGTTTGGTCATAATGCATGCCTGAAAGCCACAATGAACCTGCTAGGCTCAGGCCAAGAAAAATATAAAATTAAAGAACTGCAAGGCTCCAGCTACGATTTTAGAAAGATCTTCAGAAAATGGAGTGGAGAACTTGACACTGTCACACTGATATAAAAGCTGGAAAAACATACTGATGATAGGCAACAGAGATAAACACATGTTCCTATGCAGGGAGATTACATGGCAGATGATACACCAAAATACTTTGTCATCATCATCAGATAGCTCCTACCACATCTATAAACAGTTGACTCATACAACTTCAATACCTTCAGAATTATGCTTGAGCCCTGGAAAACATTGAAAACATCGGGCCCTCCATCACCTCCGCCACATTTTTTCCATCTTAGCTATTTAAACGTAATCCGTTAGAGAGAGACAGCACAAAAGAAACGCAAAAAACCTAAATTCTTCCACCTATGACTTTAACGGCCATCATTGATCATCACCAACCACCATTATCCTTAGTAGGTATCATGCCATCTTGATCAGCTGGAATCATGCCTTCCTCGTCATCGCCAAAATGGTTTTGGGGTTTATCACCATAAGGTGATCTTGACCTCTCAGGATGAGGACTCCCACGCTGTTGGGATGGTGGGGATACCTGGCTCCGTCTCATCATTGCCTCATGAAAACTGCGCACTGGGGAGCGTTCATGAGCTACAGGTCTATCAAACCTATCAGGGCTACGACTGCGGTCACGGCTCCAGTTTTTACTACGGTCACCCCAACCTGCAGGACTTCGACTGCGACTACGTCCCCTGTCATAACCACCATCATTGTAACCATGGTCATACCTGTTAACACATAGCAAAGGGATAGATCAGTTCATCTCCAGCAAAATATTTGGTCCTGTCTCCACAAGAAAACTTTAGGCAATTCAGAGCATGAAAACCTAAATACCTGTCTCGTGATTCATGACCATATCCACGTCCTGCACTAGAGGATGTAGAATTCGCCCCACTGCCTCTTCCACCATACCCAGAATCACTACCACGTCCACCACGGCCTCCATCATGTCCACCAGAACTGCCTCCATCACGTCCACCAGAACTAAAAGACCAACGTCTGGGCCTGCCCATTCCACCACCACGTGATGCCATTTCACGGATCTCTGGAGGAACTCGCTGGTTAGCCCCTTCTAGAACTTTTATAAGGTCAGAAGCATATTTTGCATCCTGATCACCAAAAAATGTGTAAGAAACTCCAGTAGCACCTGCCCTGCCAGTCCTTCCAATCCTATGAACATAATCTTCCACTCCATTAGGAAAGTCATAGTTGATAACTACCCTGTGACAAATAATGATCAATCCTATCATTATCCCATGTGATCATTTTAATTTTGAAATCAACAAATCAGGAAAATTAAGGTGAGTGTCTTAAAGGCATGATTGGAAAAATGTTCAACAAATTTGCATGGATAAAAATTAATTAACTAGTAACTACAACTGCAACTCCTTAATTTTAAACTCACAAGAATTAAATCAGCCACAGAATGAAAGAGACTCCAACCTGATGTCTTTAATATCCAGACCACGAGCAGCAACATCTGTGGCAACAAGCACCGGTGTCCTCCCAGTACGAAACTGACCCAACACACTGTCCCGCTCACTCTGAGATTTGTCCCCATGGATGGCTGCAGCTCCAAAGTGACGAGTAAGGTTACGAGCAAGTTGATCACACATCTTTTTGGTTGAGCAAAAAACTATGATTTTTGATCCCGGTTCTTGGGAGCGCAATATCTGTTCCAATCTCCTATGTTTCTCCATTGGGGACAATACTTCAACATGCTGCAAGATGATAAAAAGATAATTCTATCAACCACTAGCAATTGTATTGTATTGTATTGTATTCAATTACAATTGTAATTATTTGTACCTTTGAAGAACCTGTCCAAATTTTTCTATGAGGATGAAATTAAGACAAGAATGGTGAAAGTCAAACCTGAGTGATGGACTTGTTTGCCACAAGCTCATCAACATTGCCAATGTTAACCTGAACAGGATTCACAAGTAGATCTGCTGCAATTTTTCGAACTTCCCTCGGCCAGGTTGCAGTGAACATTAGAGTCTGGCGGCGAGTAGGCACCTCTTTGACAATCTTCCGTATCTGAGGTTCAAAACCCATGTCTAACATGCGGTCAGCCTCATCTAGCACAAGATAAGAAACTTGATGGAGGCTGATTTTTCTCATCTCTAGGATATCATTTAACCGACCAGGAGTGGCAACCACAATATCTGCTCCTCTCTCTATATCTCTCAACTGAGGACCCTTTGGCGCTCCTCCATACAAACACTAGAACATAAAACATACAGTGCTAATGTCAGGGAGGAAAAAAAAAAAAAAACAGTTCTAGTTCTATGAAAACAAGCATGAAATAAACGGGGAGAAAAAATAATGGTAGTAAATTCATTTTATGAACCATCTTGAAATTAATTATCCTTCTTATTGATTTTTATTTAGTTATCAGCTTTATTCTCATCCTCCCAAATGCTTCAAAGCACAGCAAACTAAAAACCAGTGGCTTGGTAATGAATAGAATAATACTCCATGGAATGGAAAACTATATCCCATTACAGTTAACAAAGATTAAAGTTAAAAATGTTTAGATGACAAATTCAATTTGTTCAGTAAATAGTGCAAGTGAAGAATGTATCAAACAAAAACATAAACAAAATCACAAGAGTAAGAGGAAAAGATTATGACGAGAAAAAAAGCAAACAGATCAAGGTCATGACTCAATGTAGGGTAACGTAACATACCGTACAAGAAATTCTAGATGACTTCCCAAATTTCACAGCTTCATCTTGTATCTGAGTAGCCAACTCCCTTGTTGGTGACAATACCAACACCGTAGGACCCATTTGAGGATTATTACGACAGCGCTTCAGATGAATGAAGCCTGGAATTAAGTAACCTAAGGTTTTTCCAGAACCTGTTTTGGCAACAGCCACTATGTCTCTACTTTTCAATGTAATTGGCCATGATTGAGCTTGAATTGGAGTTGGGGCAGAGAATCCAGCATTGAGTACCTGGAAAAAGGAAAAAAAATCCAGCAACTGCTGTAAGCACAGGTACTGCCCTCAAGGTTTCTGATTGGTTTTCTTTTTGTAGTTATAGAGGAGTGGCTTATGGCAGAAGAAGCATATCATCCCCCATATGCAAGCAGCCTGGTTTGCTGATGCAGGCTGGAGCAGGAGGAAGCCTCTTCTTCCGTTCGGACTGAGTGGCAGACTGAATCATCACCAATGGCAGTCCCGGCCATGAACTTGGGTTATTCAGAAAGCCCTCTCCAAAAATTGGTCCACCATATAAGGGCACCCCAAATTATAAGCAAGGCCCCCAACAGAGAGGGCACCACAGCGTACGACATTAGCTCCTCCCAGGAGCAAATATCGCACCTGCGAGAAAAAGTAAAGATGGTAAAAGAATCAAAATGAGTCTGAAGTTCAACATTGGACCTCCAGGAATCACATAACTTTGAGCAAGTATCAGTCAGCTTACTTAGTTTAATGAACTTGCAAGATTCAAGGCCACCATTATTGAGTAAAGACTCAAAGGATGAGAGAAAAGCAGAATTGTTTACCTCTCTAAGTATCTCAGAGGGAAAGCCAGTAGCTTCAAATGATGTAAAAGGAGGTGGCACATCAACTCCCTGACAATCATTCAGAGGAAACAAATTAAACCACCAGTAAGATACACCAGATGATGGACGAGAAAGAAGCAAATTATTAGATGGAAACAGAGCCTCTATAAAAAGGATAATTGAAGGACATAGCAATTAGAAGCAGTCAGCAACAAACACAGAATAGCATTGGTTGACACATCTATAAGATAGTACATCAAGGCAGAAGTCAAATAAGCAGAAGAATAAAAGGTAAAAAAGATAACCGCTGCAAGAAGCATAAAGATGATACTAATAGAGAATTGTTGCCAAAAGGTTTTATATACTTACAGTTACAGTAATCTCATGCTTACGACGATAAGCCTCAGGGGATAAACCACTTCCTCCAGTTGTCCCACTTGGGGCTGTATGAGAATGAACTGCTCCACTTCTTGCACTCTATACAAATTAAGGACATTGCATAAATCTTCCAGAAAGCAAGAATACAAAGCAGATGTACCTTCTAGAACAACAAAAGTTCCAGTGGGCCCCTATCTTATTTTTATTGATTAATTCATATAACTGAGATACCTTAGCTTTACAAGTGTTGAAACATTTTGTCAAAGTTTTCAGCTACCAATAAACTAGAAAGGGCTTGTGAACAAAATGGGACAAGAATCAAAAGAATTTATAAACTGAATCAAAGTCTCTCCTCAGGCAGATGTCATAAAAATAGACAATTCAGCTGCTTGAAAGTGTGACTGGAACACGTGCCAAAATCTATATCAAAAAGTGCTTAACTATATAACATGGGAATATTTTGGAATTTCTTGAAGACCCATTAGAGAACTATTTTAGTTGCAAGAAGGTAGATCACATCAAAATAGCAATAGGTAGCAGCAATTCCAGAGCAATGTTTAGCACTTAGCAGACAGATCAATAACAAATACCTGAATACTCCTTGACGCAACACCGCTGCCTCTTCCATGCCTATCATCCTCCTTGTCTGGACTATGTTCACGATGCCCTTCAGAAGATTGCTGAACCTGAACTGAAGAACTTAGAGGCACCGAAGAAGACTTTGCAGGAACATCAGAACTTGTAGGCCTCTCATATTGTGTGACATTGGTTACCGGATTCCAAAAGTAGAGATACCCAGTTTTACCATCAACCAGGCCTCTCCAAGGCTTGGGAAGAGTGGGGTCTGGTGGTGCATATCGTGGACCAGAGGACGAAACCGTTGCAGTAGCCATAGCAATGAAGCTTCCCAACAAAACCCTTTAACAACTGAAACCCACAGCATACATGTCAGATGGACTAATAGAGGCACCCAACAAAAATGCACGGTATAACACAACCTCAAATAGTTCACCCAGCTGAAATTACACGGCCAAGCACAATAAGACTTTCGACTTTAAGAATGGACGGATAAAACTGCATTCTGCAGACTATAGAACGAGAAACTCTAATCTATTTTCAGATATAAATCCACATTCAGAAACAACAAAGGAAACCGAATCCCATCATATGAATCATCGGAAAAAAAAAAAAAAAAGCAAAACTAGGAAAGAACGGGCATGCAATCTCTGAAATCAAAACCATACCAAACAAAACCCTAGAAATCCAGTGGTTCGTCAGATTATGATCAATTTACGGATCTTATTGGCGATTGAAGACGAAAGCGATAATCAGATCTGGGAAATTCGAGTCTTGAGTTCGGGAAGACGAAATTTAGGGATCGTACCTGAAAGATGAGATTCCGAGAAGGACGAAGCGAGAAATGCTGTCGCCCCTTTCTCTCTCAGGTTCTCTTTCTCCGACTTTGATGAAGAGAGGAGAAGAGAGGCACAAAGGGAGAGAAAGTGGGAGGAGAAGGAATATCGCTCGACGGCAGATATTTATAGAAAATAATCATTTAATTAAAAAAAAATTTCTGCGTAACAAAAATTTTATACTTTAGATTTTCTTTCGGATTAATCTCCATTTACCCCTCTAACTATTGGATTTTATGGTTATTATTATTATTATTATTATTATTATTATTATTATTATTATTATTATTATTATTATCATTATTATTATTATTATTATTATCCCTCTACTTTAAAATTTTATGAGTATTAACCCATTAATAATATAATTTGAGAAAACTCTCTTGTATTTAATAAAGTTAAAGTATGTAGCATTAGTTAGATGTTATCTCTATCATAATTAATGATACATTAACATTTCTATCTTCCATCGTATATTATTGTGATAATCCATAAAAAAATTTTGCTTAAAAAATATTCAAAAATAAATTTTTTATATTGTTTTATGTTTTATTTAAATAATTAATTTTTTTATTCATTTACATCTTTCATAATGAATGTATTAATTTATTTAATAACATGTAAAAATTTATTAAAAAATTACACAAAAAGTTTCTTTATATCACTATCCATTCTCTTTTGATATAATATAGGTTTGACTCTATCAAATTAAATAAAAAAAATGAAAAAAGAAAAAAAAAGTCAAAGCAAAAATTCAAGCTCCTGCCAAGGTAAGATGCAACATAAAATAGAAATATTGATGTTTGTTGATAATATCTAACTAATCACGTACACTTTAAATTTGATAAATAAAGTAAAACTTTCATAAAAATAAAATATGTAAATTCTTCTCTAAAATTATTGCATTAAAATAAATCGTCACTTAAGATAAATATTGATGTAATTTGTCACTCTCAATTTTTATTTTTAAGAAATCAATTCAAATCTAACTATTATCATTATTTTTCAACAAAAATTCAAGAGCAATAGTTTAATAGATTTTAACAATAACCATTAAATTTAGATTGATTTCATAAAAATGAAAATTTGATATGACAAATTATGTTGACATTTTTTTTTATAGTGATTTATTTCCACATAACAATTTTAAAGGACAATTTGCACATTTGTTCTTTCACAAATTATTTTGTTGGGGGGCTAAAACCCTTATATTTTTAGATGGGGTCTATAATCTTAAAATTCATAAGTTGGAGGATTCAATTACCGATAAGCCATTTCCTTTCAAATCAATGTTTATAATCTGAATTTATAGAAAAAAAATTAGGTAAAAGAATATTCTAATATATAATTTTAATAAAACATAAAAATATAAAATAAAATAATGCTATCCTTATTTTTAAAATATGTTAATTTTAAAATATTTTTCACTTGATTTTTTTATCACTCCAGTCTCGACAAATATAGAGTGGTATATATTTTTTGCTGTGGTTAAAGGTCTCAATCCAGCGTTCCTAGCCCATTCCAATACCATACACCCTCAAAACATTTTGAATTTTTTGAGAATTAAAAAATAAAATGAAATTCATAAAAAACAAAAATAGGAATTTTGTTTCTCTGGTCATGGTAGTCATCCTTCCTATGTGAATGACCTCTGTTACAGAACACAGTAGAGACTGGTTAATTTCAATGCACACAAGTTAGCTCAGAGACAATAATGAATAATAAACATTAGACCTGAAATATGTAAAATTTGTTCCATCATTAACCGGCAGCTTTCAGCTTTGCCCTGTTTCCCAAGAGATTATTTCAAGGATAGCAATGCAGTTTTGTAGAAAGTTCCACGAGTGAGGATTCCATTGTTCAGAGCTAAAATAAAAAAGGGTTACAATTTTGAACATAATGGAGCTATCTTGATGATGAAAATCGTTTAACTGTATCCAGTATCCGAACGTAATCAAAGAAGAGGGAAGATTCCTTGCCTTCCAGTCCATCCCGGTGGTGCCTGTTACTGCCAGCAAGATTGTTACATGGACTCCCACCAATAACAAGGTCAAATCCACCAAAGTGATTCATCATGTGCTCTATCTTATTATCATCCAGTTGCTGGATATCCTCAATGTGAATCAATGTACCCTTCTGGTTTGTTTGTTCCCACCAGCTACTGAGTATGTTCCTATTAACTTCAGAAATTTCAACTGACACCACATTCTTTAAAGGGATGCCAAGCCGGTGGAGGGCAACTTCTGCACCACCAATCCCGCTGAAAAGAGAGAGGACACTGATTCCTTGGGGATACAAATCTTTTAAGACTGACAGGTGGTAAGCTACTGTGTCAACCTGAAATTTACAAGTCAAGCAACAAATGTCAGAATGGAAATTTTGTCTAAGAACACAAGGGATAAGAACAGCAGAATAGCAGGGAAAGTGTTATTATACCTGGAATGAGTTACCAAGTGATTTATATCTGTCAGTTCTACTAATGCCTCCTCCCCTCGTGTGGTTTTTAGGAAATCCCAAAAGCATTTCCACTTCATCGGGTTCAAGTGGAGCTACCTTGTTCCTTCCCACCCAAACCAGATTCCACTTCTTGCACTGTTCGATAACAAACTTTTGGACACTTGGAGTTGGCTCGCCATCAGGGAGTTCAAGAGCCTTGCGAATCCTATCCGTCAATTTGGCACTTGCTATGCATGTTTGCAAGCAGTTCAACTTTGTTCTTGTATCCCAAGAAGGCCACCATTTCCTAGTCAAAGGTAAGGCTTCATGAATGGTGTGTGGTGGGAGGGGAACAAGGGGAAACCTATTTTCAATTGGGAGATTGTGAACATATCCCCTTTTCCTTGCAGTAGCACAGAAATATAAAGAATCCACAAATTCAGGTTGGATATCATATAAGAATCTGGAGATGGTGCTCCAGACCCCTTTTGGAGCAAGGGCAACATTCTCATAGTAAAAATATGGAGGCCCCATGGCAGACTCTGGAAGAATCCTATTGGTTACATGACATGGATCAGTTGGGGTCCCAAAACCAATCATTGGATTGGGAAGATGAAGGGCTTCCTCATCTCCATTCATCTCGAGCCTAATCTGTTTTTTACTTTTCCAAAGATCATTGTCAAAGCGCCTCTTTTTGTGTTTCAATTCATCATTGCAGGAAGGCTTGGGCCTTGGCTGTAGAAATGGAAGAAAATTTTCCAGCATTGGTAAGAATTCAATTAACAGCAAAATAACAGCTATTGGTAACAATATCAAAACGACTAACATAAAATTAGATAATTGAGTATATAATGTCTGAATTGTTAGACAGGAGAAAGAGAGTACATAGACTTCAAGAGGGAAAAGTGAATCTGCTGCCTTTGCCATTTGAGCAGCACATATGAAGTCAGTTAACTCTGCAATTGTGGAGTCCGGACCTGCAAATTTTGAATTGGAAATAATCTAAACATTCTGCCAAGGGAAGAATGGTGACTGTCACTATGATAAGTACAAAAGAAGATAGAAAAGAAAAGGTAACTTTTGAGCCCTGAACATGTCCATGTAGAGTTAATATAAACAGAGTTTTTATGCAACAAAAGAGTTCTCCTTAATCAACAAGAAGTAAATCATTAATATTAGAATAGAAGCATTTCATTCCTTAGACAAACACATAAAGAGCCTTGATCCTATTACACAATAAAAAATTAGAACGAAGATTAAAGATTCTTTTATCCTTCTTATTCCCAATAAAATATTATCAGTGTCTGGTCTTTCTTATAAAAAAAAAAAAAAAAAAAAAAAAAAAGAATACACACCACATCTCTCTATGGCTGCCGAAGCCTCCTCCTCTGTGTATCCCATTTTTGTTAAGAACAGCAATCTGCTCTCCTCATCAGAATCAGGATTGATGGTTTCCTGGAAGACAGATAAAAGACCAGAACATAAAAAAAATACCTAAAAGTATAATGGGATTAAATTCCCCATTCATGTGCAAGACAGATAAAAGACCAGAACATAAAAAAAATACCTAAAAGTATAATGGGATTAAATTCCCCATTCATGTGCAACAAGGGGTACATATATAAAATATAAATCACACCATATATAGAAGTCTATGTATCAACAAACAAAAAACTATAGTACAAGTTGCATTATACTTCCATGCAGCAAAAATTTGGACAAACAGCAACAACAATCACCATAACAGAAAGCTTTAACCACCTCAGTTTCATAAAGACTATCAGAATCTGAAAAATCTTCCATCAAACTCCCTTCCATATCTGATGAGGGATCAGAATCAATATGTTGCTTTGCAGGAGATTTTTCAAGAGCCTGCAAAAAGTAAATAAAAGGTAAATGAATTGTTCAAGAAAAATTGTAACATTTCACAGGTCCCATGCAAATCAGAAGAAAATTCTTTTGCAACATTAAATTTCATTTTTTTATTCTTTAGTTCCTATAATTTCATTTATTTTTCTTCCCTTTTTTATTTTGGGCTGGTGGCCATGGGACAGTGAAGGGTGTCTCATGTTAAGTTCAACTGTGTAATCAAATGGACATTAGTAAAAAGTTGACAAACTATTAAAAGACATATCAAAGGTCAACAGACTCTTCAGCTAATATGAACATAGTAACAAGCCAGTGGCAGCAGAAAATGATAAAATCACATGAATCCGTTAGTATTACAACTTACTGTCCTTAGATAAAACTGCATGCCACCATCTCAATAGCCAGGGAAAAAAAAAAAAGCAGAAGGCACAATATAAGAATCTGTTAACATGACACTTCTTAAGAGGGAGATGATTGCACATAAAAAGAACTAGTAATGACCTTTTTATACGAACCCATACAGGATTCTAAGCCATATGTAAAAAAGTTACATTGCATGATAATCCCAATAGTCATTTAAAGAATAGTTTGGCTGGAGACATGGAAGATACCAATTGAAACATTGTTAATGTCACATGACAGGACAAGGTATGTCTTATTATCAACTCATTCCATATCAAACAGTAAAACAAATCTAGTTAAGCACAATCACAAAGTGAGCAGAATGTTAAGTTTTATGGACAACTGCTACCATGAAAAGACTAAAAACAGAGAATTAGGTAGATCAAAAACAATGAATGGAGTAACTCACCGAATAAGTCAAAAGTGTTTCCAATATTGAATCCGTATTTCCCTCTCCTGAATAATTTTAGCAAGGTTATAGATAATGATTTGATAATTAATCCTTGAAAGAGATTGGAAAGATCCTTTACCATTTTCCTGAATTGCTTTGGTCACCAATTTTTCAGAGAACCCCATCCCAATAAAGTGATCAATCACTTTGGATTTGGAGGAGCTTGGTAATGAGCTTTCCTGAAGCAGAAACACAGACATGAGAATTTAGTGTTGCCACTATGTTAATGCATAAGGAATCCAATTAATACAGAAGTTTTCAGTGTCTGATCAAGCTATAAACAAGTAAAAGGTGTCCAGGAAGCACACTGATAAAAACTCACCATCACTGGGTACTGTAGAAGAGCTTCAAGTATCAAATTTGTGTTCTCGTCACCTAGAAAATTATTAGAGGAGCATCTTAGATAGGATCCTAAGGTTAAATTTAAAGTTTAAGACAAAACACATGTATGCTTTACCATTTTCCTCAACTGCTTTGGTAACCAACTCCTTAGAGAACCCCATTCCAACAAAATGGTCAATCACCTTGCAACTGGGAGAAACTACAGAATTTGTCTTGAAGCATTGGAAGCCAACTATTAGTCAGTATGAAAATGGATTGCCTCTAAAACCAAAAGAAGAATTTGGATTGTAACATGGAAAGTACCTCCGCCGAGCCTACAACAGCCTCTTCATAAGGATGGGTCACTCCAGAAGAATAAGGTGGACCGTAGTTTTCAATTTCCAGCTCATCTTCAGTGTCCCAGTCAAAATCAGAACTATGACCATCCTACACAATTCAATATACCAAAACCATGTGCATGAGTTGTTAACATTATTAACAAATAAATAATTACTAATGCTTACAAAAAGAAAGAAACAGAAAAAGATTCAAGCATACCATTTAATTTTGCAAGTTAAAGTCTCTCCCAAGTAAAGGATTTCAAGCTGTCCAAGAAAAAAAGAAAATGAGATATGCTCCAAGCCACAAACCAAAGCAAACTAATAACACTATCCATAATTAAAAGCAAATTATCAATAATTATCAGACCATCTTAAATAAGGATTTGCTAATTGAATATTACAATTTAGTCATTTTCTGTTTTATTGATTCTTTTGATTATTTCTCACATGATAAAATAGTCCTTCCATAATCAAGATGCCAACCAGTCAACAATGTACTAGAATGACATGTGCTAGTGTACGAATGAGTTACCATATTAAAGAAAATGGCATTTTTGCATCATTGTACTCGAGAGCTCAAATTGGATAAATTTTAAAAGCATGCGTGCATATTGGTTAACAGGTCTTTAATGCAACTCTCCAGGACAATCCACAATTAAACTGCACTACCAACAAAAGCTTAGCTGAGATGGTACCCATTAATTGTAAAACCTAGATTAGGTGTCAAGGTCAGGGATTAAATTTCTGCAATGCTAAGCAGCTATCTTCTAATTTATCGAAAACAATGAAACAATACATGTTGAGCAACAGCCCTCTCAGAGCTCATCAAAGCCTGTAACTGCCTAATACAAGGCAATAACAACAGCTGAGCAAAAGGCGAAATATGTAGGCATAATTTGATGCCTAATTCCAACCCTCAGTTTGCTTTCCAAGAAAAATGAAGAAAATCCAAGTGCATTTCCATGACAAAGTTTGACTATAAAAAACTTAACACTGTAAAATCAAAAACGAAAAAAAAAAAAAAACCAACTTTTTCCTCCTTCCACACTTTCTAGGCAACCAAACAGAGAAAAATTCAGACCTGCATTACAAAAAAATGCCTAATCCAGCCGAACAACTCCAAAACTCAAAATTCACCCAAAATAATAATAATAATAATAATCTCCACGCGATTAACATCTTAAATAAAACTTTCCATCAAGATTCTAGACCCCGGAAATTCTCCTTGATCTTGAAACAACCTTTGCTAATCACGATAATGCAGTCCGGTCCGTCGCCGGAGAACCGTCTCCCAAGGCTTAAAAAATCGACAGAAAAAAAACAAAAATGGAGATAAATAAGCAAGATTTCAGAAGATTAGGAAGGAGAAGGAGAGCAGAAGAAGCTACAGGAAGGGGAAGAAAGCGGAAAGCAGAGATTTTTAGCAGTCTCTAGGTCGGAAGGAAGGAAGGAAGGAAGGAAGGAATTTTGAGTCTACTTTGCTGCGGGAATCAGGATTCTGGGAGGGACAGCGGAGAAAAAAATAAAAAAAATAGAAAGAATGAGGGACGAGCCGCGCGCTAGGTAAAATCTTAAGGTACTCGCTCATTGGCTGAGATGATTTTTATTTCCCTCGCTTCTTAAAGTTTAAAAAATAGATAATTTAGTACCACAACAAATAAAAAAATAAAACCTAGTACAATAGTAGAGTAGTGTAATTTGCTTGACTCCCTTGAAAAGACATTTTATTTCTTATTTTAATATTTTATATTTAATAACTAATATTATATTTGGTAATTAGAGTCTAATACTTTATTTGTTTTAAAATGTAAGTTGTTTAAATTTTTTATATAATTTTAAACAATACTTTTTATAATATATAAATAATAATTAAAAAATTTTTATACATAATTTTTATTAAGTAATTTGATACAATTAAAAAAATTTTAATTATGTGAAGTTATATTATAAAAAAAATATTACTTGAAGTTATGAGAAAACAAAATCAAATAATTTATATTTTAAAATAAGAAGTATATATTAGCTCCTAATATATAAAAATTATAAAATAACTAAGGTTTTATTGACTATAATTTTAAGATTTTAATTTTGGATTGTATAAATTTCATAATTTTAAACAAAAAAAAAACTCATTCACTTACATGTGTTTCTATAATATATTATCTTAATTATTAGATAAACAAG